ACACACACACACACACACACACACACACACACACACACACACACCAATACTTAGACCAAGACACATACAGAAATAATTTGAGGACAGGTCACGTACAAACAGCAATATCTATAGAATGAATGCAATCTATTCTTTTGATTTTTCCCACGTCTCATCACCTCCTTATTACCTCCCCGTCACCATCTTCTTGCTCAACTGCTCCACACAATACATATTACACCCTTCCCAATATGAATCTCCGCCATATCTCCACAGCATCACTGAATCTCCCATGCTCTCCCCGCTATCACAGCTTTCAGCTACATTCAATGTTATATCTATAGTGTATGATCTGTGGCTCACTCTCACCTTGGCTCAGACCATGTGCTGTGGATTCACGTAACAGTCCAGGCTAACAAACCCAGTGCAGTACTGACGGAGTGTCACACTGTTAGAGAGTCAGTGCTGAGGGACTGCTGCACTGTCAGAGGGTCAGTGCTGAGGGAGCACTGCGCTGTCAGAGGGTCACTACTGAGGGGGAGCTGCACTGTCGGAGGATCAGTGCTGAGTGAGTGCTGCACTGTCAGAGGGTTAGTGCTGAGGGAGCGCTGCACTGTTGGAGGGGCAGTGTTGAGGGAGTTCTGCACTGTTGGAAGGGCAGTGCTGAGGGAGTGCTGCACTGTTGGAAGGGCAGTGCTGAGGGAGTGCTGCAGTTTTAGAAGGCCAAAGCGACAGTAGGGAAAGAGTGTAGCCCTGTTGGAAAAGCAGTATTGAGGGAATGTTGAACTGTCGGAGAGTCTGTAGTGGGGGAGTGCTACTCAAAGTGGCAGAATTGAGGGAATGCTGCACTGCCAGAGGGTTAGCATTGAAGGTGTGCTATTGGACATGCCACATTTCATACGACGTTATCCCAAATCTCTGCCTGCTCTCTTTGGTGTCCATTGTGACCCCAAAGCTCTGCTGACAAGGAAAGCTGGGAGATTTGTTTATGATGCCCTGGACAATATTTATCCTTTAATCAACATCTCCAAACAGGTGATCTGGTCATTATCTCATTGCTGTGACTTTACATTTCTCATATTAAAACAGTGACTGCACTTGACGTATTCATCTGAAAGCACTTTGCGATGTTCTAAAATCATGATAAGTGTTGTATAAATGCAAGCTCTTTCGTTTCTAACATCAGAGTAAGATGTTGAATTTGACCCATTGGCCTCTCGGAATTCTGCACTTTGCATCAAGGCTGGGCAGGATATGAATCAGCATCTAATGGGTTACATTGCTAGTCAGTCTCCAGCACAGGAATAGCAACCTCAGTTAAGAACCTGGTTAGTAGAAAAGTTGTGAACAGTAGTAGGGGGAGGAGGTTAACAATGCAGGTAGTTGTGATGAGCTGCACTGACCTGCATCTGACTTTGTTTGGTAGCTGTCATCCCAGTCTTGCGATTGTTTGAACTGTTTACTTCCTCGGTTGTTTCTGTAAAACCACTGTAGCTCCACACTTTGTTGTCAGCAGTTTCTAAGGAGACAAGGAGGCAGGGCTCGGCACTGTTGCTGGGTAACTGCAAACAGGAAGGGAATGAAAGGAACTGAAGATTTCAAAATCCTGGATATCGGATAAGTGATAATGCGGAAATGACTCTTATTTGGAATTTATTGATTGCTTCTCACTCTCCTGCCATGTGAACTCAGAACCCAGGACTGAAGCTATGATTATGTCACCCACAAGCAAGACCCAAACCAGAGCACAAATGTTCGATAGTGTAGGCAGACCACCCAGCCTCATTCTTTGCTAGGAAATGCACTGCCTACCATTTTGGCAAGGGGTGGAAAAAGAGGTGTCCAAGGATTGTGCCTGAAAAAGCAGTTAGACCTATGCATGCAACAACTGGTATTTCTATAGCATTTCTACATCTTTAGCATTAACACACACATCATTGAGACCACCTATTTCTCCCCCATATGGTCACCTGAGTTGCCCCATCTCAGCTAAGCTGCTGCTGAAACTCTCATCCGTGCTTTTATTCCCTCCAGACTTGATTCTTCCAATGGTGATGTGTTGGGGTGGGTAGGATGCCATGCGGATAGGGGATTGGTACCAGAAGAGTAGGGTGTCAGGATGCGGAGAGTGTCAGGTAAATAGGGTTCCAGCTGGGTAGGATTCCGGTAATTAAGGTGCCAGTTGGGTAGTGTCAGGTTGCCAGATGGGTAGGGGGGTAGAGTGTCAATTAAACAGGGTTCAGCTGGGTTGGGTGCCAGAGGCGAGAATGCCAAGTGGGTACTGTGAGGAGACAGAGCCAGGGTGCAAGATGACAAGGGAGCCAGAGGCGAAAATGCCAAGTGGGTACGGTGGGGAGACAGAGCCAGGGTGCAAGAAGACAAGGGAGCCAGGTTAGTGACCCAGTGTTAGGGTAGACAGGTGGAGGGGAGTCCAGTGGGGCTGAAGGGGGAGCGGGGAATAAGGTCTAGTGTGGGGAATGGATGTTGGGGAGATGGGTGTTGGAATGGATGTTGGGAGATATGGGTGTTGGGATGGATGTTGGGAGATATGGATGTTGGGGGGATGGATGTTGAATGATTAGGGTTGGTTAGAGAAGGAAACCTAAGGCAAAGCAATCTGAATCTGGAGCCTAGTACAGATGTCTCTTTACCTCATGGTTTGTTCATCTGATAAAGTTATTATATACTCATTATTCTCCATGTCAGTCTCACACACTTGAAGGTGCTGAGCTCCTGCTGTCGAGTTACACACACAACCACTGTTTATTCTTCACCCATCAACTAGGGAAGGAGCTGTTGTCACTTAGACAACATCTATCACAAGTGCAGGAGTGCCAAAGGGCCTCACAGTGAGTCAAATACTTCAGAAGTGTTATCGGTTTGCATGTTGCACACGGCAAAATCCCACGGATAACAATGTGATTATGACAAGTGTGATAATGTGATGTTGTTTGAGGGATAAACATTAGCCCCAGGACACTGGGGAGAATTCCTCTGTTCCTCCTTTTACATCAACCTTTGTTTGGGATGGGAGCCTTATTTTAACTTTTCCCCTGCACAAAGGCATCTCTTACCACTGCAGTGCTCCCTCAGTATTGCCTCTCCCACAGTGAAACACTCCTGTAGTACTGCACCTTCAACAGTATAACACTCAGCCATTACAAACCCTAAAGAGTCCATCACTACTGGTACTCCAACAATGCAGTGTTTCCTCAGTACTGCCTTCCAACAGTGTGGCACTTCGTCAGTGCTAATCCATGACCATCAAATGCTACCTCAATACCAACTCTCCAGTAATGCAATGCTTACTCTGACAGTGCAACACTCCCTCAGTATTACCACCCAGACAGAGTAGTGCTCCCTCAGTACTGACCCTCCAACAGTGCAGTGTTCCCTCAGTACTGACTCTCCAAGAGAGCAGTGTTCCCTCAGTACTGACCCTCCAACAGTGCAGAGCTCCCTCAGTACTGACCGTCCAAGAGAGCAGTGTTCCCTCAGTACTGACCCTCCAACAGTGCAGTGCTCCCTCAGTACTGACCGTCCAAGCGAGCAGTGCTCCCTCAGTACTGATCCTCCGAGAGAGCAGTGCTCCCTCGGTACTGATCCTCCAATAGTGCAGTGCTCCCTCAGTACTGACCCTCCGAGAAAGCAGTGCTCCCTCAGTACTGACCCTCCAACTGTGCAGCGCTCCCTCAGTACTGCCCCTCCGAGAGTGCAGTGCTCCCTCAGTACTGACCCTCTGGGAGTACAGCATTCCCTCAATACTATTTGGAAAATATCAGCATGGGTCAGGTGCACCAGCTTCAAGCCACAATCTTCTGATTCAAGCAAGAGTGCTACAGCTCATTGAATGAGTTTTTACATGCTATTGGGCCAGAGTAACAATCTCAATCATTTTTTCACTTGGCGTCCATACACATGTTCCAGACTTGGGAGGTGCAGTCAGTGCTTATTTTCTCCTCTTATGTGAGAGGTCCTGAGGCCAGTATTCAGGTAGAAGCAGGAATGTTAGAATTAGTTTCAACTCAGGTGAGAAAATAAAGGAGAAGCTTGTGTCTCTAGCACTACACACAGCTGTGTGAAGTGAGTGGGACAATGGGATCAGTTTAAGAATAATACAGGACTATGGGGAAAGAATGGGGGCAACGGGATCAGTTTGGAAGTAACACTAAGCTGTGCAAAATGAGCTGGACAGTGAGATTAGTCTAATATTGATACAAGGTTCTGGGGAGAGTGGAACAGTGGGAATAGTTTGGGATTGAGGGGAGAAAGAGACAGAGTAGGATTTGTTTAAATTTGATACCAGGCTATTGGGAGATTCAGACATTGGGAATAGTTTGGGATTGAGACAGGGCTATGGGAAATGATTAGAACAATGAAATTAATTTGGGATTGATATTGAGCCGTGGGGCATGAGTGGGGCAATTGGATTAGGTTGGGATTAATACAGGGCTACAGGGAGACTGAGTGTGATATAATCAAAGAATATAACATTCAAAACAGAGTTAACACTGAGAATTTGTTTCCCCTGGGTGAGGAATGTAAATACAGTGGTTCACAAGCTCAGAATAAGGGATAATCACTTAGGAAAGAAATGAAGATAACCCTCTCTACTCAGACAGTTTGAACCTTTGGAATTCTCTATGAAATGCAGAGATCTGTGGATGCTGTTACTGAATATATCAAAAACTGAGTCTGAAATTTTTGAATACTCATGGAATTTTAAGAACTGGAGATAATACTGAATGTGAAGTTGAGATAGAAAATCAGCCATGAGCTTATTGAATGATGGAGTAAACTGTTGGGCAAGGGCTTTAGAACACTGAAGAAACTTTGCAATGATACATGGAACTGCAGTTCACTGTGTAGATAACAGTATGGGTGGGCAGAGTTAATTATAACAAAAGGAGAACCTGAGAGCTAGAGTATATGGATGCACGAAGAAAAGAGAAACATGCAGAAAAACATGTCTCGTGGTTAGAGATAACAAGGTGTAGAGCTGGATGAACACAGCAGGCCAAACAGCATCAGAGGAGCAGGAA